CCAGTTTTATTACATGTGGAAAACCACAGACCGGTATATTCAGCAGGTAAGGGCTGGGAGGGAGGCTGGACTAGAGGCCTGCCCCTCACCTCTGCCTTTGAAAATGATGACATTTTCTCTGATGAGATGTTCTGATTTTTCCTTCCTTCCTTTTTCCCTGTAGAAAAGGTTGAAAGCTGCTGAAGCAGACAGCAAACTGAAGCAGGTCTACATCCCCACCTAGTAAGTGTGGTGGGCAAGGGCGACGGGCAGGTTCTCCTTCTCCTCCCTCGGCCTGTGACCGGGAGTGCACAGAGGCAGCAGCTTCAGACTGTTGTGTTCACAGGGTGGAAAGAGATCCTTTTTCTTCACCAGTTCCCTCGTTTCTTGCCCTGCTACCCCCTTTAGCACTAAGCCAAACCCTAACCAGATCATCTCTGTGGGCTCAAAACCTGGCATGAATGGGGCTGGATTCCAAAAGGGGCTGACCTGCGAGAGCTGCCACAGTGAGTTCCCAGGAGGGCCTGGGATGCCGGGGCCGGGTGGGAGGCCTGCCTTGGTCCAAGAAGTCCGGTGGCTCAGGTAGCCTGCTTCCTCCTTGACCTCCGTCTCCTCTGTGCTCTGACAGCCACACAGTCTGCCCAGTGGTATGCCTGGGGCCCACCCAACATGCAGTGTCGCCTCTGTGCTTCCTGTTGGATCTACTGGAAGAAGTACGGGGGCCTGAAGACCCCGACTCAGCTTGAGGGGGCTGCTCGGGGCACCACAGTAAGGACTGATGGGGACAGCAGGGGAGAATTGTAAACACTAACGTGAGCTTTAGACAAAGGCCAGAACACCCAAGTCTTTGTATGGGGATGATTTGCTGGGGGGCGCCATAGTGGCAGGGCAGCCAGCTGGCCTGGTGGTAGTAAAGAGGCCAGGCAGGAATGGAAGAGAGAAGGGGGAGCCTCGATGCCACCCTGCATTCTCGCTTTTCTTATGTCCTCTAGGAGCCACACTCAAGGGGCCATTTGTCCAGACCTGAAGCCCAAAGTCTCTCCCCCTATACCACCAGCGCCAACCGGGCCAAGCTGCTGGCTAAGAACAGGCAAACGTTCCTGCTCCAGACCACGAAGCTGACTCGTCTTGCCAGACGCATGTGCAGGGACCTGTTACAGCCGAGGAGGGCTGCCCGACGACCTTATGCTCCTATCAATGCCAACGCCATTAAGGCAGAGTGTAAGGGCAGTGGGGAGGGGCTCGTGGTGGGTTTCTTTGAATGTTTAAGGACAGTAGGGATAGTAGGACACAGGTTTATTAAGAGATCAGACAGGGCTTCCAGCTCCAGGAGGCCTGAGTCGTGACACCCCTTCAGAAGCCTTCATCTTACCTCTCCAGGCTCCATTCGACTTCCCAAGGCCGCCAAGACCCCGCTGAAGATTCACCCTCTGGTGCGGCTGCCCCTGGCAACTATCGTCAAAGATCTGGGTATGGGCTGGGAAACCAGACTGTGGTTGTGTGCTGGGTACAGGACAGGGAACTCGGGCAGCGTGGAGTCAGGATCCTCCCAGTCCTTTGCTTATCAAGAACCTTTCCTCTTCCTGCTTTTTCTCCCCCCTGCCCCATTGAGTTTTAAAAGAGTTAACCTAATTGTGTTTCTGAAAGTTAATGATTTTTGTCATAGGCTTCGTAGTATTGCTCTACTGATTTGATGAGATCACGTGCACGCGTGATTTCTGAAACACTGGTAATAGCTTGCCTGACCCTTCTGCCATCACAACTCTTGGGGATGCCCAGAACAACTACTGACCTGGGAGAAAGAGATGAGTTGAGAAAGGAAAACACTGTAGGGAAGAGAAAGGTCTCTTAAGTTTTATATCACCCCCCCCCCGCAGTGGCCCAGGCACCTTTGAAACCCAAAACACCCCGGGGCACCAAGACACCCATCAACAGAAACCAGCTGACCCAGAACCGAGGACTGGGGGGCATCATGGTGAAACGAGCCTATGAGACTGTGAGTTGAGATTGGGGTGGGCCAGGCCCGAGTTGGGTGGGCTTTAATTCCGGTAGGAGTCTGAGCGGGTCCTTCCCTCACTGTGTTGCCCACCCTTTTCCAGATGGCAGGAGTAGGGGTCCCCTTCTCTGCCAACGGAAGGCCTCTGGCCTCAGGGATCCGCTCGAGCTCACAGCCAGCAGCCAAGCGTCAGAAGCTGAACCCAGCTGATGCCCCCAACCCTGTGGTGTTTGTGGCCACAAAAGATACCAGGTAGGGAGCTCACCGTGGGCGGGCTCAGAGGTCGATAACGCGGGCTGGTGGGTATGAGTTCCTGGGCAAGACCAGTTCCAGGAAGACTGAATGCAGGGTGAGGGTGTCAGGAAAAGAGTGGGCAAAAAGGCAGAATTGCCTTGTGGAGTGTGGGGTTTCACTTTGGGGGTGTCGGCTTTCTTTCTTCCCTTCTCCCGGCAGGGCCTTGCGGAAGGCTCTGACCCACCTGGAAATGCGACGAGCTGCCCGCCGACCCAACTTGCCCCTGAAGGTGAAGCCACCTCTGATCGCAGTGCGGACCCCTGTTCCCCTGCCCACGCCTTCACATCCTGCCAGTACCAATGAGCCCATTGTCCTAGAGGACTGAGCGTCTGTGGGGAAGGGAGGTGGGCTGAGAGGTGCCTCAGGCACCCAAACCTCCCTTTCCTCTAGTATCTAAAGGAGTGAAGCTTTTGAAGGAGGGAGCAAGTGTGTGTCCCTGGAGGGGTTGGGCGCCCTCTGGTGGCACCATGGCTGGGCTTGTCCCCTCCCTGTGCTTCTCCGTCCCTGGCGATGGAAGACTGACTGCAGGAACCTGGCCTATGTGGGGAACCTGGCCTGTTTTGGGGGGTAGGACCCACAGTTTGTCTTGGACAGTTTTCTGGGGAGGGTTTTTTTAATTTTTTAAAAATTTTGCCTCCCTTTGTGAGAGGGGAAAGGGGAGGGGAAGAGTAAACAGATCTCAGGTGGTTGTACCTGATTGGGGGTGGGGGGTGTGCACTGCCATGTCTATTTTTTTTTTTTTCCTAATTGGGGGTTTCGCTTCCTGTCCGGTGTCCGGACTTCCTAATTGGAGTTTGAGGCCCCTAAGCTGGCATCAACCCCAGCCCATGCTCGCTCTTTCCTTCCCCCCCTTCCCCCTCTGCCTTTTGTACGCCAACTCTCAGAAATAAAGATCTTTTGTCCATTTTTTTAACCTCGGATTCTGTAATTGGTTCTTATAGTAACAAATAAAAAGCTGTTTTCTTCAGCTCCTCCCGGCTCAGCTGTTCTTTCCATGGATGTGTGTGTTGGGGGGATGGGAGGTCTTTAAGAGGGAAAATTATAATAAAGGACAAAGGATCATAAGGCCTGTACAGATGGGGTTTGCCCTGGGAGCAGTTTCTTTGAGATAAGGACTAAGGCTGCTGCTCCAGCCAGCCTTGGGGGACCCAAATTCTCCAGATGCCCACAGCTCCCAGTGGTGCTGGAGCCCAAGCACCGGCCTGGCCCGGCTTTGATTAAAGCAAGTGGCATGAACTGCCTCTTTGGATGGCTAGTGCAGCCACGGCAGTGGGAGGTGGGTATGAGGGTGCTTCCTCTATTTCTCCTACTCCTACCACCTCTGGAGTCCTTGGGTGGTGTAGTTAACATGCTCGCTGCTACCCAAAAGGCTGATGGTTTGAGTTTACCTAAGGTACCTCAGAAGAACGGCCCGGTGACTTGCTGAATAATCAGCCACTGGAAACCAAGCACAGTTGTACTCAGACACACAGGGGGCTGCCTGGAGTCAGAACTGACTCTACAACAACTGGTCACTCCCCTCTTCCACTTGGGAAATTCTGGGAGTTGCTGAGGCCAGGGCAGGATGCAGCGCTCCTTCTGGGAAACTGCAGAATCTTACCACCTAGCTCCAGCCTGTACTCAGGCAGCAGCATCAGGGTCCTCAAGGTCTCAGCAACTGCCTTGACGTTGGGGACCACTGTAGTGCTGTTCTTTGCTTATTTAGGCTTGGGAGATAGAATGGATGCCTGAGCTGAGCCCTTAGAGAAGACAAGGTCAGCGTCTAAGTGCTCCTTGGGCACTTCCTTTAGAGATGGAGAACAACCTTGGCAATTGTGACTTCCTCAAGGTCACAGGCCTTGGTATGTCTGCCTCAGGTCCACTTACCACAATGGAAACGACAGCACAAGCTGCTGACACCAGCTAACGATCCCCCCCTAGGGCCGCCCCAACTTCTTTACTCACTTCTCGTCTTGAGCCTACACCAGGTGCTGGTCCCTTGCACCTCGGGAGTGTCAGGGGAAGAACTGAACACTGTCTTAGTTTTGGGGAAGAAGCACTTCCCACTTCAGTATCCTCGCTCAGCTGCTGCCATGGCTGGTTTCTTCCGTACTTCCGTGAAGTGGGCCGCTGGCTCTGGCGCCTCGCGAGGACACTCCACGCAGCCCACTAGCGCGGAGGCCAAGTGGAGGCAGAAATGAGTCTGGCTCACCTGGGCCGCGCGATCTGGCTGTGGCTCCGTGGAGTTCGGAAGGTTCCCGGCGGACGACCAGACAGAGCTCCCCGACCAGGGCCAGGCAGCAGTCGTACAACACCGTTTTTGGGAAGGCTTGGGAGGGAGAGGGTAACTGTCCTGAAGTAGTTGGGAGTCCAAGGGCAGCCTCAGGCGTCGAGAGGCAGAGTGGAGACTACTCGTCTTCCGCCTTTACTTGCCGGGTGAATGTGGGGCTGCAGGCACAGCAGCTGCCCCTGAAGGGTCACCCGGCAACGAGGCGGCCGGCTGTCTGGTAACCAGCGGTAGACTCGCACCGGAGCCTGTCTTTGTGGCTACTGTGTTGAATATTCATATTCTTTGAACCAATCAACGCACGATCAGCCCAGGGCACACCAATCGGCTCCCTGCATGCAGATAAGCATCGGAGATAGGCGGCTTTTCCTTAGGTGGAGTGGGACTGCATGCAGGGGAGGAACGGAACTCGGAGCGCAAAGCCATGGGTTTCCGGAGGGGTGTGCCTGCGCGAGTGCCGCTAATATGTCACTTCCCATCCGACCGGCGGAAGTTGCTTCCGAGTGCTTAGCTAGTTGGAGGAGCGAGTTCTGGTAGAGGCATATATAAGTGCTGGCTTTTTGTCGGTATTGGGAAGTCGCGATGGCGGCGGTGGGTTCGGATGTCGAATCGCTGCCGCGTGGGGGTTTCCGCTGCTGCCTCTGCCGCATTACTACAGCGAACCGTAAGGGGTGGCTAGTGAGGGGGGTGGTTCGGGCTCTCATCTTTTCATCCTAGGGAAAGTTAGTTGGGAGGATTACGCACCTCCGTTTTCATAGACCACCGCCATTCGAAAGGATTGAAGAGTCCCGCCACCTTACACCTCTCGTGCACCGTATCCAAAATCTCCGCGACGAAAGTTTGTTTATTCTCTCTTTAGCAGTCATCTATAGGACATTTGCTCAGTGCCTGCACTCTGCTGCACTCTGCTGGGTTCTAGGGTAAAGGGAGGGGGTTCAGAGATGAAGGTCTCACACCCAGAGAGGGGCACGCTTTCAATACTCGATAGATGTGTTTGGGATTATAGAGAAGGCGGTCATTAAAAGTCAGGCAAACCTTACAGAGGAGCGACCCAAAGGCAGGGATGAGTGAAACAGCATGGCGTGCTGCACTGATTTGGCATGGGGTACCAGTCAGGAAGAAGCAGAAGGGGAGTTTGGGAAAGTACGCAGCCTAGTATGACAGTGCAAGAGGCTCAATGAAACCTCCGATTCCACTTACCAAGCCTGGAATCTTGATCTTCTCTGAGTGGGGCTTCTCTTCCTCTGTGAATGGCACTCGCGTTTGTAAATCTTCCCAGGCCCGGTATCTACAATGGTTACACCAAGCAGCAGGTCTAAATGTAATACAAATACTAATAGCACTGATCTTTGCCCACATGTATCGTGTTTCAGACTCTGCCAAGTGCTGTATCTTGAATAGTAGCTATGTGGTAGGTACTATTGTCATCTTCATTATGTATCTGAGGAAACTGAGGCACAGAAAGGTTAAGTAACTTGTCTAAGGGCTCCCATACCTTGCCAGAGCTGGGATTTGGACTTGGATGTGTGCCTTTAAATCTTGCACTTGAAATAATTGTGGTACCATATCCAGAGATGGTCCATGGGGGCCACCTAGGGTCTTGAGTTAGTTAGTTTTTCTGTATATAACTTTGGGAGCTCTGGTGGCATAGTGCCTAAGGCATTTAACTGCTAACCAGAAGGCTGGTGGTTCAAACCCACCAGCTGCTTTGCAGAAGGAAGATGGGGCAGTCTACTTCTGTGACATACCGCCTTGGAAACCCCAGGAGGGGTTGTTATGAGTCGAATCCACTCAATGGCAGTGAGTTTGGTTTTTTTACATATAATCTTTAGGAGCTCTGGTGGTGTGGTGCCTAAGGCATGTGACTTAACCAGAAGGTTGATGGTTCAAACCTACCAGCCGCTTCGCAGAAGGCAGACTGGGCAATCTACTTCTGTAAAGATTTACTGCCTTGGAAACCAAAATGGGTCACTATAAGTCCGAATCGACTCAGTGGCAGTGAGTTTGGTTTTTGGTTCTATACATAACCTAGAAAAGTTACCACCTATTCATTTCTTTACAGTTTGCAGGTGTCGCTGTACCTAGTGCTTATAGATAGCTTAAGAGATATTTGTACTACAGCCGTTTCTCCTGGGAATGGCTTGGAGAATGTATTATATAGACAGGTGGATTTGAGGGGGAAGGTAAAAGGAGAAAGGAGACAGGCCTTTGTTTGAAGATCACACTGTGTATGACTTTAAGGGATCAGTAGGATTTAAGTGAGCAGAGAGTAAAGGCAGGGGCAGGTATACCAGAGCGTGATTTGGGTGTTTTTGTCCCGTGTCTTTGCAGGACCCAGCCTCGATGCCCACCTGGGAGGCCGGAAGCACCGGCACCTGGTAGAACTGCGAGCTGCCCGAAAGGCCCAGGGACTTCGAAGTGTGTTTGTCAGTGGCTTTCCCCGGGATGTGGATTCTGCTCAGCTCTCTGAGTACTTTCAGGCATTCGGGCCTGTGGCCAGCGTCGTCATGGATAAGGACAAGGTAGAATGAATGCCGGGGGAGTGGTGGTAAAGAAAAAGTGGGTGTGCCACATGCCGAAAGAGACAGGAGAGAGAAACTAGTGGCCTGTTCTGGCTGCTTGCTGCTGTGGCTGGTCCTTGGTGGGGCAGCACATTACCCAAGCTAGACCAGTTGGGTGAGCCCCCAGAATTTTACCACTTCACCAGAATTAGTCATCAGGAGACTTGTCATTTACTTATTCAATCTTTTATTATTTATTAATAATTTCTTAATTGCTGGCTTTGTACTAGGCCCTGTGCTTAGCACTGTGTTCTGAGTGGTGACGAAGATAGACTGCTCACACAGAGCTTACAGTCCAGAGGAGAGAGTAGTCATATTGTAGTTGTGAGGTGGTAATTTGGTTAAGTAGACATGACTTAGGTGATGCCTTTGGGTTACTAGCTGAGTGCAGTTTTCTGCATCACCCAAGGACTTTAGATTTGGCGGTTTAAATCTCTGCTTGGAAGGCAGCCACAAGGTACTTAAGCTCTTTGTGTTTCAGTTTCTTAATTTGTAAGACACAAATAATCATACATACCTTGAAGGAGTCATACGAGGCTAAGACAGTTTATGTAAAATGCTTGGTGTGTAAGCCCTGAGTAGCCCTAGGCTGCCGTGTTGAGAGGAGACAAGTGCTCGGGACACAGGCTTCTCAATGTATTGCTGCCCTCCTTGATGCCTTCTGTAAAGTTTGTTCGTTCTTTTTTTTAACTGTCTTGATAATAAAACAAGAGGCTTAGAATTGGATCACTTGGCCCTTTGGCTTCCTACCTCCTCCCGGCTCAGAATGCTTGCATCTCACCATAGCCAGCATTGGCTTAGATCTGTAGTTGGGCTCCACACATTGTTTTTTTAAAAAAAATTTTATTGTGATTTGGGTGAGTTTACAGAGCAAATTCATTTTCCTTACAGTAGTTCATACACATTTTGTCTCATGACATTGACTGCATTCCCCACAATGCAACAGCTCTCTTCCCACTCCCTCCCTGTAGTTACCTCTCCCCTGTGTCCTTCTCTCCCATGCACTTCCACCACCCCCTGCTGTCTCCCTGTGCAAACACTACCCTTCTGTTCTCCCATAATTGATCGCTCCAGGGAGTATATCTCCCTGAGGTAAATGTTCAGCCCATATGCCTGTCTGTTTGGCTGGAAGCCACAGGAATGAGTTCATTTCCAGACCTGAAGGGTGCCTGAAGGGTGTCTCAGGGGTCTCACCAAGCTCTGTCAGAGCAGCAAACCTGGTATTTTTTTTTTTTTTTTTTTATGATTTTGAGTTTTGTTCCCCATTGTTCTCCCACTTTCTCCAGGATCTCCTGCACCGAGCCCCCTCCGAGTGGTTGACGGTGGTAGCCAGGCCCCATGTAGTTCTGGCCTCATGGTCATACAGGCTGAGAAGCATATGCTCTTCCAGTCCCTTGGACTAACTGTTTCCAGGTGTTTTTGGTTTTCTTCATTCGTCTTTGCTCTGGATGAGGAGAGACCCATTGTTGCATCTAGATGGCTGCTTGCTGGGCTCAACACATCCAAGCCTCAACATAATCTTTGTAGTCAGAGCCTTCTTATGGGAAATCGGCTTAGTCTGCCCACCTTATCCACTTTGTTTCCTGTCACAACGCCACTTCCCCTGGGCATAAAGAGAATCTTTCCCTTTTTATACTGTGTCCCTTTGTGGGGTTGGTGCTTGCCGCACCTTTTTTTTTTAATTTTTAGAATGCTTTTATTTTTTTAGTGATTTGGGTGAAAGTTTACAGAGCAAATTTGTTTTCCATTCAGCAGTTCATACACATTTTGTTTATGACATTGATGATTTCAGTCTCCACAGTGTGACAGCTCTCTTCCCGCTTCTTCCCTCTGGTTACTTCTTCCTTGTGTCCTTTTTTCCTATGCAGTCCTGTCCTCTGAGCTATCTCCCTGTGCAAATTGTGCCCTTCTGATCTCCTATGGTTGATTGTTCTAAGGAATGTACCTACCTGGTGTGATTGTTCACTTTGTAGGCCTGTCTGCTATTTGGTTGGAAGTTAACCCACTGGAGTGAGTTCAATTCCAGGCCTGAAGGGTGCATTGGGGCCATAATTGGGGGTTTCATCCATCTCTGTCAGATCAGTAAGCCTGGTCTTTTTTATAATTTTGAGTTTCATTTCACATTTTTCTCCCCCTCTATCTAGGATCTCCAGTTTTGATCCCTTTTTTGAGTGGTTGGTTGTCAGTGGTGGCTGGGCCCCATCTAGTTCTTCTGGTCTCAGGCTCATGTGGGCTGAGGTTGCCATGGTCTACTACTCCCTTGGACTAATTGTTTTGATGCATCTTTGATTTTCTTTTCTTTTCTTTTTTTTTTTTTTTATTAGGAT